AAGCCCCGAATAACGAAGTAGGTAAACCCATCAACCCCTCATCTGGCCATGCCAGGCGTCGGGTGCTGTATCTGTTTTATTTCGACAATGATGGCCACCAAAATGCATAAGGCATCATTTGGGGTTGGGAGAACTCGGAAGTTGGGATACATGGATCAACGGCCAAGAAAATGCCAAGAACTCTCAGCTGCTGGCACTTTACACCCTGAAGCCTTCCGGATTTAGAGGCTTGGCCAGACGATGTGCAAGGCAAAGGCCGCAAACAGGCCCATGAAGCCCGGATCCAAGTGCAAGACAAGCCATACAAGGGTTTCCGAAAATTCGGGGCTCCTTATTTTGGGGTCCTTATAATAAGGATCCTAATTATGATTATGGGTACTATTTTAGGGTCCCCCTATATTTTCGGAAACTCCATACACCCCGCTCTCAGGGCGAGCTAGGATTCGGGGTTTATGGGGGCGGGAGGGGGTGGTGCAGCGGAGCTTCTTAAAGATGTTCGGATCCGTGCAGTTGGGCGGACAGGCCAGCCGCTCTTCCCATGTGGGAATAGGGAACTGGATACCTCAGTCAGTCAGTCAGCAAGCTCTAGGAAAGGCCTCTGGGATGAACATAACATTGACACGGGGACCATGACAATGAACAATCGGGTTTGGGTGTGGGGTGTGTGTAGTGTGTATGTAAAATGTATGTATGTATATCTATGTAAATATACACACATATACACATATACATACATATATATATATATGCACATACATACCTATATATGTAGTACACCAGTGTGGTAATATAGGTTTGCGGGTGTGTGTGTGTGTATATATATACATGGAAATATAAGTGTATGTAGAAGTATGCCTATATAGGGAACTCCGAAAAGATAGATTTTCGAGTATTTCAGACCTCATAAAAAGAGAAAAAACAGTTAAGGTGTCGGGCCCTTTGGTTCGGTGCCTTCCGGCTTCCGTGGAACTTCAGAGCCTACAGTATCCCGGGGAGTTTTGCAATGCCCGAAGGTTAGGGTCTAGACTTTAGGGTTTAGGGCTTTTTAGGGGTTTTAAGGTTTAGGGTTTTAGAGGGGTGAGGGTCTGTCACGATCTGTGGAGTTTCCATATGAGGGCCTATAACTGGCCATCCGAGAGCAATAGGGTTTCGATACGATTACGATTCGGATAGGACTACAGTTTCCATATCATATCCGATACCTCCGCGACTTGAAAACTAGTCCGCAACATAAGCTGTCCAATCCACACTACCTACATCTCCTTGCCTGAACTACGGTACCCAGAGAGCCCAGTACCCCTTAATTAAAGAATGTAGCTTAAATCATAGTATGAACCCCTATATAAGTGAAGCCATAGTCCTTAATCAAGGGATGTTGGGCTCTCTGGGTAGTGAAAAAGTGCATGTTCAGCATCGGGCAGGCTGGTGGGAATGCAACTTGAACGAAACCAAATCAAACGGGCGGCCATATTTTGAGACTCGGCCTTGCCAAAACTAGCACTCTAGAAAACCCTAGAAGCCCTATAGTAAACCCCATAAAGTTGGAAACCGGATTAAGGCCAAATAGTGCTGGGATTCTCTATACATTACTCTTAAGGATGGAGGCTATCAGGTTTCCAACTTTTTGGCGTCGAGTGTAGACCCAAAGGCTTAAACTACACGCTGGAACTGCACCGATTGAAACTTTATAATGACCCTAAACTCCCTAAACCTTACACCCCTAGAACTCCTACACAGCCCCCGAGACCCTTCAAACGCCATCATCTGCCAAGCCGCGAGATTCTGCCTTATCCTCGGGCAGCACGGAAGTCTGATCCTTCCCCTTCTGCACCTGAAAAGGGATCTCGAAGAGTCGGGTCCAAGGTTTCTATACTGAACTTAGAACCCTAGCAAAAATTACAATTTTAGCTGTTTCTTAGGGATTATAATGACCAAAAACTTGAAAATTATTTCTAAGTACCCCTAAGTGACAAGGGATCTCGAAGAGTAGGGTCCAGAGTTTCGGGCTGAAAGGGTATAGGGTTTGGGGCTTAGGCTTTCGGGCCTATAGGGTATAGGCTATGGGGTTTAGGGCTTAGAGCTTTAGGGCTTTGCGGTTCAGGGTTTTAGGGGCTAGCGGTTTTAGGGCTTAGGGTTTAAGGGGAGCCCCTGCTGATTGGAAGAGAGTTCCTTTACAGGTGCGTAACAAGACTTTATCTAGGGGTTTACGGGGTCTAGGATCATCACACTCGACGTCCTTATCATCTTGGTTTAAGAGCCGCAAACAGGTCGGAATACCAAGCGGGCCGAGAAGTAGAGGGAGTGAGAAACAGGGAGCTTGACGAACAGGTCTCCAGACAGGCAGACAAGCGGACGGACGGATAGGGAGAGAGAGAGAGAGAGACAGAGAGAGAGAGACAGAGAGAGAGAGAGAGAGAGGGAGAGGGAGACTGATGAGAGAGCGCACACACACACACACACTTACAGACGGACACGGAGCGACGCACGGACACTACACTGGTCCTTCAGCAGTTCCATACCTCTCAAACCACGAGGACGACTTCAAGCCCATCGAACGACTACTGCCCCACGCCTGGATGACGGCAGCCTCGTGCCCAACATTCCTTGCACGGCGAGGAGCACAGAGGGCTTCAGCTATACGCTTGGCGTTGTTTAGGGTTTAGGGTTTAGGGTGTTAAGCTACTGAATAAAGTTTTTCTCGATCAAGGCTTTGGCTCGAGAGTCTCTGCTAATTTAGCCGCACTGTGGGTCTAAGACTGTGAGCTTATGCGGACTTCGGAGAGGATTCTAGCTACTATTTGCTTAAGAAACCCCCAAAAAATAAAAAATAATAGTCCCTATATTACCCCCATAAGGAATATACTTTATATTTTTTGGGGGTTCTTAAGCAAATAGTAGCTAGTGATCGGCGTTTTAACAGTGCTGTTAAGAGCTGCTCCGGTCTCCAGACCCTAAACCCCTGAACCCTAAATCTCTAAGTAAACCCTTAAAGCCCTTAAACCCCTACACCCTCCAGAAGGGCGGCATCTCTAATCGGCCCTTAGCAGACGCAGGTTCAAGTCGGAATGCGACATACTTTAACGACCGAGAAGCCGTGATTCTGCGAAACGAGTATATAAATGAGTGACCTGAATACTTAGATTGAGGTTTGGGGATTCATAAGTCGCAAAGCATATGTATATCACAACAAGAGAGAACAAGGAAGGAACAATATCGGTCGGACATTTGGTTGGGCTGATGCTGTTAGGTCGACAGAGGCTAAGGGTTTGGAACTCCTCTTGTCTTTGGGCCTGCTTGATCCTCCAAGCAAACTCATGGCGCCGATGCACCAGGAGACCCATGGAATATTAACGATGCGAAAACTAAAATTCTGGACCCTCATTCATCCGTGTCTGCCATCGTGTCAGGCAGCGATGAGTTGGAATTCTTTCCAGAACCCCGCCGGTACATGGTGGGGAGGTTTCCCGCAGTAGCCTGAATCCCACTAGTCCCTGAAGGGAAGCACGTCTCTGAATTCGGCAGTACTTGGAGGGTCAGGGGACTTAGTAACTGGTTGTTTTAGGAACTTATAAGTACCAGAACCCCAATTAGGGTCCCTTTTAGGGTACTTATAAGTCTACTTACTACCTACTTACTAAGTCCCCCGACCCTCCAAGTACATGGGTAAACAAAAAGCTTGGCCGTGCTCGTGAATCCTCTGGGGAAGTATTCTGGTCGTGTCAATCCCGCCTGTGAGGCCACTAACCCTAATTTCCCACAACCTTATACCATAATCGTTTTGAAACATACCATGACATAAAAGGGTCCATGTACCCAAATAGTGACAGTACATACTTTGGCCCATAAAATCTCGTGCCAAAGTATATGCTTATTGGTCATATGGACCCTGAGTGTAAACCCCTGAACCCTAAATCTTTAACCGTCCCTGATGCTCTTCATCGAGGCGCTGGTTGAACTTGTCGAAGCGAACTCGTCCGTACATGGTCTCTTCCTTTAGGGTTTGAGGTGCAGGCCAAGGGTTTACAGTTTAGGGTTCAGCATTCACGGTTGTGGCTTGGGGTTTCGTGGTTTACTTCGTCCGGCTTGTCACGGTTTGAGGTTTCGGGTTTAAGGTTTGGCTTGTTCCTGTTTGTGTGATTCGCCTTTGCAGGACACCTCCATGCAGTAAGCTCCTTGTGGGACTTGCCCTAGAGCATGGGAGAAAACTGCTTTCGGGTTAGGGTTCAAGGTGTATACGGCCTAGGCACAACGACCGTGGACCCCAAAACGCAGACTCGAAACCCAGCAATCCGCTAAACGGGTCCAAGCATTGGATGTCTCACCGGTGTGGCAACTCGAGCTACAAGCTTCTGGTCTGAACTAATGTATAGACGCGGGTTCCTTTAACCGGTTCCTGTAGGAGCTTTATAGTTGTTTTACATGCTTTTCATCCGACCTCTATACCATGCATTCGTCAGTTTTTAGAGCCCAGTCCCTACATTGCAAGCCCAAAGACTGAATGAAAGCGAGAGCAACAAGAGAGACATCTCAAGAATTGGAGTGTGTCGGACAAGCCCACACATGACGAAGCTTGTACTCCTGCTTCGGATTAGGCAGTAAGCTTCAGGGTGTAGGGCAGTGCAGCGTGTGGGTTTGGGGCAAGGGCCCGGTGAGGGCTTTGGCTCCAAGAGCGTCAAGCCCTCAAGCCCCCTGAACCCCAAACCCTAAACACACACACACACACACATATATATATATATATGTATGTATGTATGTATGTATGTATGTATGTATGTATATATATAAATAAAAACAAATAAGTCTCTCTCTCTCTCTCTATATATATATATACACATACACACACACACACATATATATATATATATATATATATATATTCGCGTCAGATGGATCTATCACCAACGGTAGAACAGTGAAGGGCCCCACGCACCTGAACCCTAAGACTTCAAAGCCTCAAACCCGAAAGGAAACTGCGAGCACAAGAGCTGTGGCCCGAACCTGTAAAACGTACAGAGTCCAAGGGTAACAGGAGGGACCCTTAATAAGGACCCCTAGGTATATACCCTTAGTATAGCTATTATATACCCATTATACAGCCCATTATAGGGTAGGGGTCTCCCTCCTTTTCCCTCTTTGACAGAGGGCTACCCTGCACCGGCCCACTGTCGGCCTCGAAATCTCGCACCATCAGACGGATCTTCTCATCAAGGTCCACGTCGCCTTGGCGGATTCTTGAACCGTGCAATTACCCTAGGGATCCAAGGACTCACATATTAAGGCTTTTGGGCCCAAAGACCATACTATACAAGGCTTTTCGGCTGTTCCGATCCCTTGGGTTAGGGTTTGGGGTTCAAGGGCGCTGAAAAGCTTCAAGAGGCAATGGGATTGAGTCGGGAAAGTGTAGGATGTCTGGGGCCTGTGGCTGTTAAAGGTTGAACGGTTTACGGCTTGAAGACGGTGAAAGGCTTTAGGGGTTTGTTCGGATCCCAGGGTAAAAGGAGGGACCCTTAATGAGGACCCTTAGGTATATACCCTTAATATAGCTGTTGTATACCCATTATATAGCCCATTGTAGGGTAGGGGTCCCCATTAAGTTCCCCTTGGAAGATCATGACTGGCAACCTGCGCCCGCAGAGCAGGAGTCCAAGCAATCCCCCTTTTGCAATCTATCGTTACATCCGTCTGCGTGTCTTTCCATCCATGTATTCCCCCATCCATCCATCCATCCATCCATCCCTCCGTCCATCCATCCATCCACCCACCTATCCACCCACCTACCCACCCACCTACCCACCCACCCACCCACCCAGCGGTGTACATACATATGTACCTGCCTGCTGCCTATCGACCTCCCGGCCTACCTAACCCTAAACCCTAAAACCCCAGACATCTGAGGGATCAAAGGGTCGAGACGGGGATTTCGACATCAAGCCCGTTCCACTATGCGATCGAAATAAGGCTTAGCAAAGAAAGATAAAGCCACTCTTAATACAGAGGCCTAAAAAAATAACCAATACTATTTTGGGTGCTCCGTTTGCCAATCATCGTCTAATCTACCCCAAAACCCTAATGAAATTATTAAGGCCCCGATATTACCAACTGTCGACGCCTTCAACCCCTGCCAAGCTGGTGCGAAAAGGGGGCATGAGCACTGCAGGGAAGAGTTGTCTAGCGCCGTGTAGTTGCCCCAGGTCACCTCAGTCGGAGGATAACTGATAACTTAAGGGACGAGGAACGGGTGATCGGAAGTAGGGGTTCAGGCTTTGTGATAGGCTACAAGATGTAGTACATGATGCGTTGCTATGTAGGTGTACGTGTACGTGTACTTCTGGCTGTGCGCATGGATGTAGGTGTAGGTGGTGTAGCTGCAGGCACCGGTGTCGGGTTCAATCTTAAAACGCTAGAGCCCGAGCCCGAAAGATCTGCCTGTCACACCCTACAGAATCAGGATTGATACCGGCTTCTGAATAAGGCCCTCTCCACATAAGATTTTGGGGTTTGCCTCTGGAGCTCAAATGGGAACATAGGTTACGCAAGCCAAGGGCCTAGCTGTCTAGCTACACATGAGAGGAGACCTTTCACCCTGAGCGGCCTGCCGTCACATCCTAAACCCCCCCTGGAGCCCTCAACCCTACACCCTAAACGCCTAAACCCCGAAACCCCTAGACCTTGCACCCCAAACCCCTTAAGCCACCCTCAAACCCTGTAAATCCATAAATCCCTAAACCCTAAATCCCGAAACCCTAAACACCCAAACCCCTAAACCCTTAATGCACCCCACCCAAACTCCAAGCCCTACTGCTGATGGACAAAATCCTGCATGACCCAATAATATAACGAATATACCATAATTCCCATAGTTTAGGGTCCTTAAAGTCATGCAGGATGTTGTCCATCGGCCGTATCACTTCTGAAGACGGAAGCCCAAAGTCTGAAACTTCGAAGATCCTGAAGCCAAATTCCCAGAGCCCGGACTTCGGGGCTTCGGGGCTTCGGGGTTTCGGGGTTAGGGGTTTCAGGGGTTTAGGGCTTAGGGGTGTCAGGGTTAGGGGTTTCGGGGGTTGAGGGTTTCGGGGTGTGAGGGTTAGGGGTTTCGGGGGTTGAGGGTTTCGGGGTGTTAGGGTTAGGGGTTTTAGGGGTTGAGGGTTTCGGGGTGTCAGGGTTAGGGGTTTCGGGTTTAGGGCTTAGGGGTGTCAGGGTTAGGGGTTTCAGGGGTTAGGGTGACAGTAGCTCTCAGCCGCCGACCCGGCTGACAGCCCTCTCGAGGATGATCCCCGCCGTCGTGCAGGAGGCGAGGAGGTAGTCCGGGTCAGTGCCTGGCTGGGGCATGCTGGGGCTAGGATTTAACTTAGGGTTTAGAGGTTCGGGTCAGGCGTCAGGGCTGGGTTTTAATTTTAGGAGTGGGGTTCTGGGTTGTACTTTCTTTTCTGTTGGAGGGCTCATTTTCTGTCTGCGCGAGGGGGTCTCGTCTTAGGTCCGTTAGGGTTTAGAGTTTAGGGTATCGAGTTTAGGGCTTGGAAGGTTCCGAAGCTTCCAGGAACTGTTCTTACAACAATGCCATATATACTACCATTATGGAATTAAGCCACAAAGCCATTATAAGGATGGTCTTTGGGGGCCTAGTTCCATAATGGTAGCATATATGGACCCTCTGGGAATCCAATAGAACAAGATGACAAGATGTCCTGATCACCTCATTGCCGAAGATGCTACAACACAGGAGACCCACAGTACTGGCATTTTTGTCCCTCAAGCCCTTGTCTTCTGAGAATAAACAACAACCGCGGAGGTGGCCCTAAACCCTAAACCACCACCAACAACAAGAGCAACAGCAACAACAACAACAAGAAGAGCAGCAAAGCAACAGCAATGCGAGATCAACAGCACCAGCACCTAAACCCTAAGCCCTAAGATTTACATTTTGGTAAGGATCGTTAGAGTACAGACGAAGGATCCTCAAATTTAGGGTCTATACTGTAGTGGAGTAGTGGAGCACATTTGAAGCCATTTTACTGGGTGCGGCTTAGCCTTTAAGGGTTGAGGCTCATGGGCGCTTTTCGGTTTGGGGACAGCTAACCCCTACGTGGGAGTTTCCGAAAACAGGGGACCCTAATATAGTACCCTAAATCATTTGTAATAGTAGGATTTTTATTATAAGGGCCCCATCATTTTGGGAAACTCCTACATACCCTAAACACACGCCTGTCGCGTTCTTGAACTCTTTGAAGAAGCTCGGCGTTGGCCCAATCGACGAGAAGTCCGTAAAGTTCCTCGGTAATGGCTTAGATGCTTGGGGTGTTCATTTAAGTGGTTGTCAAAATTAAGGTTCCATTGTTGGGTCCCTATTATAATACGGCACCTGATATTTAGGGTAACCAGAAAGGGGCCCTAATTTTGACAACTACCCATTTGAAGGAACGAACTCGAACCCTTACACCGGGTTCAAGCTGGAATCACTGAAGCTAAGCCCTCAAAGATAGCAACAAATCTGCACAACCTGCTGCAGTAAGTCTAGCGATACATCCAGGCATTGCGGGGGGAAGTACCCTTAAAGGATCCCGAAAAGGAGCCTGTAAAGCGCTTCGAGTTTTAGGATTCCGGGTGCAAGCCTCATTGCCTACGCGGGGGTGGCTTCAGAGCCTCGGCACGATCGCCCGGCGTTCACGACAGTGATAAGGGCTTAAGGGTTTAGGGTTTAGGTTTGGGGTTTAGGGTTTAGGGTCGTTAACAAAAGTAGGAACAAAAGCAAAGGCAGAACGCGCTTGCAAGGACTGGCAGGACCCGGCACGCATGAATCCGAGCTCCCCCCGCCAAAGCAAACTTACTTGATGATATGAATCTTGCATTAACTTAGGGACCCTACTTGGAGGTTCATGTGTACTTATAAGTAGGGTTACAAGCAGGGTAACTATACTTATAACCCATTTTGGGGGACTTATAGCACCACTAACAACTACCCATGAACCTCGAAGTAAACCATGGGAATTATGATATATTTCTTCTTATTATTATTATGATTCTGATTCTGATTATGATTATTGTTGTTATTGTTATTGTAAAATGCAGGATTTCTATCCTCAACAGTTGGGAGCTCCGTTTTGAGGGTTCCGTCGTGGAAGCTTCCTGCTGGTGGGGCGTCTAAACTACGAAACCCTAAACTCCAAGGGTAAAAGGAGGGACCCTTAATAAGGACCCCTAGGTATATACCCTTAATATAGCTGTTGTATACCCATTATATAGCCCATTACAGGGTAGCGGCCCCCATTAAGGGTCCCTCCTTTTCCCTTTGATCAACTCCACACCATAAGCCCGAACCCTGTTTTCTAAAACTCCCACATCACCACGATTCACCGCGCGGCCGACAGCTCTTTGGTTCTACCTTAACCTACAAGAACCTATTTTTTGTAGGGTCCCTATAAATTCCATATTTGGGTTTATAATAAGAACCTACAAAAAGGAGGGTTTGGTAGGTTAAGGTAGAGTTTATGTGCTTGGAAAGCTATCGCCTTCTGAACCCGGGCCCCATCTGTCTCAAAAACCACTATAAGGTTTAGGGTTTCCTACTTGTCGGGTATCATGGGGTTTTATAGGGATTATATAGGGGCTATACTGCCCAAACAATTTTAAAGGTTACCTACTCGACTACCGGGGTTTGCTACCCGCAAGCCCTACAAGAATCCGACAAAATACTAGATGGGGCTTTTAAAGCCTTTGAAAAATATTAGCAAGTAAGGTCCTCTTAAGCCCAATAAGGGAAAATATAAAATGTCCTAAAGCCCTACCCAGAATAACTCGATTCGACCCCTAAGCCGGCAGTCGCTCATATTCCAAGGTGCTGGGTATGATGCCACTGGGAGGGCGCCAGAACATAGTCTCCTGGGTTTAGGATTACAAAGGTTTATATTAGCGTACTTGGAGGTTCAGGGGTAGTTAAAAGTGGGGTGATAAGCCCCCGTCCCATAATATGGGTTACAAGTATAGTTACCTTGCTTATAACCCTACTTATAAGTACCCATGAACCTCCAAGTAGAGGGTTTGGGGTTTCTGGTTAAGGGGGGTTTAGGGGTGCCTAGAGTCGACCTCCTGGATACTCACAAAGTGACGACCCTAGCGCAACACCACGCAGTTTGAGTTTTCAGCTTAAGGAGCAACCTAGGGCTCAAGCTTGAGGCCAAAGGAAACCCTAAACTCTAAACTTAACCCTGAACCCCAAACTCGAAGTTCTGAGTCGAATCCAAAGCCGAGAGCAGTGCGAGACTCACAGAGAGACGCATGCAAGCACATGGGTAGTTCTCACCATTGGGGTGCCTGCTTAGTTAGGCTCCTTCTTACAAGGGTGCCGTACTATCCCGAGACCCAACAAGGGGCCCTTAAACCCTAAACGCTGAAACCCCAAACAAAGTCTATTTACATAACTATGCAACTGGCAACAAATAGAGATGATGGGTAGTTGCTTTAGAAAGCGAGTTAAGGGCTGCTTGGAACTATCATACCCTCAGTGTTTGCACAGCGCCCACAAGCTCACACTAGGCTTGCGGATAACATCCTACAAAAGTTGGTTTTGCACCCTGGATGACCCGGAATCAAAAAAACTATGGCTGTTGAAACCATTTCAATCTCAGGCTTTAAAACAGTTTACCTAAATTAGATGGCGACATGGCCCCACACCCTAAACCCATAGAAGCTTAAACCCAAAACCCTAAACCCCTGTTAAACCTAAATCCCGAAATTCTAGACCCCTAAACCCTAAGAAGCTTAGAGGTTTGAGGCTTGCAAGGCTTACGTTTGGTTTGTAGGGAATGGAAGAATGGTAGTAATAGTAGTTATAATTGTACCCCATGCCTCCTTTCCGTACGAACTAAAGGTACCAGGTTGGCCCGTTAAAGCCTCTGAGAAATATTCGTCAATAGGGTCCTATTAAGCCCAAAAAGGGAAAATATAAAATGTCCCAAAGGCCTACTAAACCCTAAACCCTAGACCTGAACCCTAAACCCTAAACCACTAAACCCTAAACCCTGCCTACTTAGGCTGAGAAGGGCGAGGCACCGTCCGAATTGCCGTTTTCATCGCGCGGGAATTCCACGAGCCAACGTCCCGTTGTCGGCCTCGGCGGATAGACTTGGGTTTAGGGTCTATAGGGTTTATAGGGTTTAGGGGCTTAAGGTAGTTATCAAAATTAGGGTCCCTTTTTGGATACCTTAAATAATAGGTGCCGTATTATATCAGGGATCCAAAAGGGAACTCTAATTTTGACAACCACCCTTGGGTTTAGGGCTTAGGGGCTTAAGGTCGAGCGTGAGGGGTTTAGGGCTTGCAGGATTGTGGGTTTAGGGTTTAGGGGTTTAAGGTTTAGTGTTTGAGGTGAAAAGTATGGGGCGTAGGGCGTAGGGTTTTGGTCTTAGGAGTTTGGGATCTTGAGATGACAGGAGGGAGCGGGACATCGGGGCTGCAGAAGCAGGGTACCACTTACACCCCAGTCCCCCAACCCCTAAAACCCCACACCACCCTAAACAACAAGCCCCCAAAACCCTCAAACCACCAGCTCATCTTACCTCTGTTTAGTGGGGAATGGAGGAATGGGGTACAATTATAGCTACTATTACTTCCATTCTTCCATTCCCTACTAACCAAAGGTAAGTTCATCCAGGGTTGGGGGCATGGGGTTTACGGCTTAGGCGCGATAGGGTGGTGTCAGGGTTTGGAGCTTGACGGCTTCGTCTTCGATGAGAAAGTGCACTGCGTAGGCCATGCAGGGCTTTAGGGTTTAGGTGCTTAGGGCTTGTAGGTCTTGGGGCTAGCACCTAGCAGGGCTTTCGGGTTATAAAGCACATAAGCAAGCATAAGAATAGGGATATCCCGTATAAACCCCTTATAATGAAGCCCAATAAGGTAGGGATATCCCTATAAAGTGCTTATGCTTATGTCCTCTTTGGGTCCCTAACCTAAACCCATAAACCCTGAAACCCTTCTCCGACAGAAACCCTCAGGAAGCGGCGCAATCAGGATGATGTTTGCAATGAGGTTGAGACGCTCCGCGACAATAGCCTCGGGCAAGTTCGAGCTCGTTTGGGGTCGAGCGTTTAGATTTCAACCCTTCTCTGGAGCTTGAGCTCTGAATGGCTTCGGTCCGTACTTCTGTAGCTGCAAAAAGCCTGTATAGCATGATGAAGTTATTGCTCAGACAATCACTCAAGGGTCCAGCTTACCTTCAAGCTCTTTAGGCCTCCAAAAGCCCCTCGGGGCTTAGGGTTTAGGGTTCAAGGTTTGGAGCTTAGGGTATCGGATAGGGTTTAGGCGGTTTAGGGTGTGGAGCCGTTCAGGGTTCATGGCTCACCGCCCAGGTGCTTTCTGCAAAGCAATGCCGTCGTCCAACCACGTGCACCCCATCAGCATATCAGTGCCGGATGCCTCGGCGAGGCTGTGCCCTCTGTGGTAGGTCATGAGGGGCCGACATTGGGCGTTTATGTTGTTTTGGAATGGGGTCTAAAGATGTTGGCTGAGAACTAGAATCTCCGAAGTGTGAATGCTCCGCTTCGCAACTTTTACCCTAAACCCGAAACCCTAGAAACCCTAAACTCCGAAACGCTAAACCCTGTATCTGTTTCCGAGAAGACTTCTCGACGCCAATTCAGGGTTTGGGGTTTAGGCTTTAGGGCTTAGGGTTTAGGGGTTTAGAAAATAGTCTGAAATCCCAGCACCGCATTCCGAAACACTGCTGCGAAAAATCTGCCAAATCTTACGGCTGAGGGTTAGGCAGAAAAAGGTCTCGAAAGATAGGACGTGGCTTGACGGAGTGATAAGGCTTTCGGTTGAAGGCTACAGTGTTTAAAAACTTTCTCCCTACACGTCCCTAAACCCTAAACCCCTAACCCATAAACCCTAAACCCGTGGATTATTACGAAACCCTAAACCCCTGTATAAACCCCTAAACCCTGAACCCTAAACCCCAAACCCTAACTTCAGAATCTAATAAGGGATCCAAAACGCACATAAGCAAAAATTAGGATAGGGATATCTCATATAAACCCCCTTATAATGAAGCCCATTAAGGTAGGGATATCCCTATAAGTTGCTTATGCTTATGTGCTTTTTTGGGTCCCTATCTAAAGGCAGGAGCACCTTCAAGGCTTGCACGCCGGCCAGGAGGGTGCTTTCCCATCCTGCCGTTGCAGTGGTGAACTCGAAGATTTCGCTGTCCTCAACCACCTCAGTCGCCAGTCACTCCTAATGTGGGAGTTTCCGATAATTAGGGTTCCTTATTTTGGGGTCCTTATAATAAGGATCCTACTATTTAGGGTACTACATTAGGGTCCCCGATTTTCGGAAACTCCCATGTAGGGGCCTTGATCATTAGAATGGGGTTTTGGGGGTTCCTTGTTATAGAAAAAGTAGAAGATGCTCCCAAACCCCAGACAACTATTCAGGCCCCTGCATTACTCCTCCTGGTGGTACGACTAGTAACCAGGTAACTCGTACGAGTTCTGGACTAGAATGCGCCGACGACGGCGATGATGACCCGGACCAGGACAACAGGCATTCCTCTCTTGGCGACGACTGCGGTGGTGACTACTTCTGCTTCTGCAACTACTGCCCCGCGAAGCGACGAAGACGACTGAAGACGACTACGACCGAAACAACGAGTTATGACGGCAGTTGATGTAACTGGCAGCATCGCGATTGCACACAAGAAAAAGTGCAAAGGTCGTACTGGAAGCCCCATGAGTCCAGGTTGCATCTAGGGACCCTTGGGGAGGTAGGGGGAGGGGGGTTGGGGACTGCTTCTTTAAATAGGCCTTATTATGTCCTTACTACAGGTATTAAGGCCCCCTATCCCCCCCCCCCCACCCCCCTAAGGGTCCTTATGATTGCAACGTCTCCCTGCTTCTGCTTCAACAAGATTCTCTAAAACTTGTGCTTTCCAAGCGCACTCGCGAAGTTCTGTGCATGGGTGTTGTTCGATGCCATTACGTGTTTAGTCAGGGCTTGGAGTTGAACTAGTACTGGTGGTATACGTAGGGGTCCTTACAAAAGTGTGCATAGGTGTACAGCGGCTCCTGTATCAGAAGCACTTGGCACGCGATCCACCTGATCGTGTGAGCTGAATCACGAAAGAAACCAGACACCCAGGCCGAGAACAGTGAATCACCACATCTCACCGATCCCTTGCGCAAACCAAGCCGCAATGCGGAATACCAAACCTAACCTATAACCTTCAACCCTTGAGCCCTGAACCCTAAACATAGACCCCAAACCCTGAACCTTTAAACCCTTGAAATGCTATAAGCCCTCGACCATAAACCCTAAACCTAAACCATGACCCCAGAGACTCCAATATCCCTTAATTAAGGAATATACCTTAAATTATAATAGGATTCCTCATATGATTTAAGGAATCTTCCTTAATTAAGGGATATTGCAGTCTCTGGGACCTCCTGCTAGGGCCCCGGACAAAGCCGAACGATTTTGCCCGTGCGATCGACTCGCCGCAGGTGAAGTCCGTGAATGCATTCCCTGATTTGCGGTTTGGGTTTAGGAGTTTAGGACTTATAGGGTTTACACCAAATTCCTAAACCCTAAACCCCTAAAGCCCCTAAACCCTAAAACCCTAAACCCTAAAACCCTAAACCCCAAATCCCTAACCCCTAAACCCTGAACCGTGAACCCCTAAACCCTTAAGCCCCAAAGCTCTAAGAACATATAAGGGCTCCTCCAATGCACCCAGCCGGGCTCCTTCCTTTCTACTGGTCCCATGAGATCAGGGCTCTGTAGGGGTTTCGCGTTTTAGGGTGTAGGGCTTTGGGTTTCGGGTTTAGCAAGTTTGAAGTTTTCAGGCTTTTAGTGTGCAGATGTAGATTTTCGGGCTTAGCATTGTGCAAGTATGTTAGCCTCCAGCTATTCCTCGGGGAGAGGATGCAGGATGAGCTAGGATGGTTTTGGGCTTGCGGCTTTAATGGGCAAGGGCACGGGGCAAAGCTCGGTCGCTAAGAAAATCAAGAATAA